TACCAGTTGATTGATGCACAAATTAGAATGTGCACCAAAAGAGAGTCCAACAGACCCGGAAGCACGACTAATTTCTTCCATCGCTATACAGTGATACAAATAACCAAGACCGAGTCCTCCATATTCCTCTACAAAACAATCCTCAGTTAATTTTTTAGCAACATCATACTTTAGTAGACATGAACACAGTTATTAAGCATTTAAAAGTGATCCACCAAGTAAGTTCTTCATACAAATAGTATATGAACAGATTAAATTAACATTACCTGGTGCTGTTATTCCATGGAGATTGAAATCTCCCATGAGTTTCCATAAGTTAACCTCCTGAAACAAGATCATAAATACAATTAAACCGAAGTGTCACACTACTCGAACAGGATGATGACAGTCATGATTATTATAGGATATAACCTTAGGGAATGAATTTGTTTGGTCAATTTTGGACGCGTAAGGAGCAATGTTTTCTTGCGCAAACTGTCCAACACTTTCTTTAAACTACGAAAACAAAAATCAGAAATATTAAAAAAAAAAAAAAAAAAAATCATTGCAATTGCAATTGAAATTCGTAATGAATAAAAATAAAATATAGAAATCGTACCTGTAACTGAGTGTCATCGAAGAGGAGAGAAGTGGAGAAAGAAGCAGATTGCTTCTGCTTGGTGAAAACAGAGGGACGGAGAGAGCGTAGAGCGAAAAGCCTATGCATAGTTTCAGAAAATGAAGAAGAGAATGAAGTCTACTTCTCCCGTTTATATACATATATAATTATTGGATAATTAATAATGATTAGTTTGGACAAATAAATGTACTTAATTACTTGGCGCATGAGATTGTTGCAGAAGTTAGGCAACCTTGAGATGGTGACGTGTTATTTGGGGTGATTCCTGATTTAGATTTTAAAGTCTGGCTTGAAGTGGAAAGAGCTATCCTGCTTACCTGTTCTGGACAGAGTGGGCATCTGGATGAAGGGAGACTTTCGAAACTACCCCTGACTTTTTTACTAATTACAAATTATGGCACTTTAGTGATAAATAGTCAAAAATGCCCCTGAACGCTAACACGATTCAATTCTGTTAACTTGCAAGTTAATTTTTTTTTTTGTAAAATTCAATTTTACCCTTACTCATTAAATATGATAAAAAGATTTTCCTCCCAATTGAATTCAAATTTAAATCATAATTAATTCACTAATCTAGCGAAATTAAGTTATATGTGTAGATGATATATTTATTTTATTTTTTTAATTTTTAATTTTTTATGATTGTATCATAAGTTATATAAATTATTATTAATATATACTTTGGTTAGAGTTTTGAATTAAATACTTAAAAGTGTTAGGTTTGAGTTACTGGAAATTTCAAATATAATGAAATTGGGGATAAAATAGTAATATTATTTAAATTTGAACTTACAACTTAACGGAATTGGATGGCGTTAGGGTTTAGGGGTGATTCTTAACTATTTCCCACGGAAGTGCCAGATGGACTGTTAGCAAAACGTAAGGGGTGGTTATGAAAATCTCCTTTTGGATAGATGTTGTGACTCACCACTCTCTCTCTTTCAATTAAATAATTAAAACACTACACATGAGCATGATTCATCATTATTCATATCACATTACAAGTGAATATTTTTATATATGAATATTTCTTTGTAATATGAGTTATTGCATAAAGTTTTATATGAGATCTTTATTGAATTTTTACCAACTTTTCTAGCTTGAAATTTCAAATAATATATTGGAATTATTTGTTGATGTACGATAACGTAGATGTTTTTTTTTTTTTTTTTTTTGAGTTAATGATTGTTTTGATTTTATTTTTTCCTTTTTCGGTTAATATCAAGCATTCCTTTGAAGATTAACAGTTAATGTGAATGACACTCGTCAATAAGAATTATGTATTGTCAATGTCATTAATAATCGATTTTACAAAGAAAGTTAATATCAGAAGTTAATTTAGGTAACGTTTGGGGTGCATTTGGTTTGGGGAATGCTGTATTACTGGAAAGATGTGTTTGGTTCATAGAATGTTATATTAATAGAAAAATATATTACCTTGAAGATTACTGAGAATGTTTAGGGAAATGTGTTTGGTTGGTTAGAATAAATTGGTGGGTATATTATTTACTAAATTGCCCTCTTTTTTAAATATTAATATAATATTATTTTTTGAATAATTCTTTTAACCCCCTACGTTTGAGATATTGCTAAAACACCCCAGCAACCAAAAAATTTTAAAACTTAAAAAAATACCCCCACCCACCCCAAGCCACTGCTTGCCACGCTCACTGGCAGCATCGGAAGTGGTCATAATGGAGCATGACCAACCAGATCTGGTCAATCGTGCGCCGATATGACCATTTTCGGTCATATCCATCATGGATCTGGCCGAAAATGGCTATGGTCAGATCTATCGAGCCATCTAGTCGTTAACAACGGCCAATGATCTAGTTGTCATTAACAACTAGAAGCCGTAGATCTTGCCAGAAACGGTCAGATCAGCACATGACGGTTATTTCCGACGACTTCAGGCGGCTGGCAGGCGGCGGTGGTCTTGGGTGGCTTGCAATTTTTTTTAAACATAAGGGTATTATTGTCCAAAAACTTAATTAAATAGGGGTAAAACTGTAATGGCAAATTAATGTAAATTAATTTCAAAATAAAGGTATTATTGTCCAAAAATTTTATTAATAAAAGGACGTTTGGATTGGGTCTAAATGAGATAACGAGGGTAATATTCGTTTATTCTGCAAGATTTCTATGTTTAGTTTGCAACTAATAAAATATTACGGTAATCTTTTATTGCAAATAATGTATATTGTTGGTAATGTGGGGAGTAATCTTATTATCTTGTTAGGAGGTGTTATTAAAACATTACTGGGGTAATATGATTTTTCTTTCCATTTTGCCCTTAATTAAAAACTATTTCGGATATAATTACCCTCAAATGTCTACCAAATAACAATTACCCAGCCCCCCTACATTTGAGAAATTAGCTAAAATATTAACAAAATATCCCCAACCACCCAAGACCACTACCGACCGTGACTCACCACCGTCGGCCGTCAGCGCCAGTCGTTGTAATGGTGCACGACCGACAAGATCTAGCTAATCGTGCACCGATAAGGCCTTTTTTGACCATGGATCACCGATCCATGGTCGGAAACGGCCAGATCTGGCGTTTTTATGGCTGTGAAATGGTCATAGATCTAACCATTTTTCAACCATGGATTTATGATCCATGGCCATTTCTAGCTTTGCCTAGTGATATACAGCCAGTCATGTGTCATTCCATCGACTATTGGCGGCGGCCGGCGGTGGTGACTGACTGCCAACAGTGGCTTGGGGTGGGTGGGGGTGATTTTGCTACAAATTAAAGTTTTATGTGGCTTGGGGTGAGTGGGGGTGATTTTGCTACAAATTAAAGTTTTATATGGTTGGGGTGTTTTAGCAAAATTTCAAATGTAGGGGGTTAAAAGAAATGATTCAAATAATAATAATAATAAATACTATTATATTAATATTTAAAAAGGAGGGCAATTTAGTAATCTATATAACATAACCACCAATTTATCCTCCCAACCAAACATATTATTCACCAATTTATTTGAACTAAACAAACACATTTTCTAAACATTCCTAGTAATTTTCAATGTGATCTTTATTTTCGTTAATATAATATAACCCTATAATAAAACATTATATGATCCAAACATCCCCTAAGGGGTAAGATTATAACAAAAATAAGATTACCAAGTAATCTTAAAATACCTAAGAAAATGGAGGTAATCAGATTACCTCCTATATAACCAATAGTAAATACTATTGGTTTTGGAAGATTATTGGAATTTTATATTACTTGACAACCAAACGTGGTAATCAAGTAATAAAAGATGACATACCTCGGTAATTGGGGATTACCCCCAACCAAAAACGCCCAAAATATTATATTAATGGAAAAATAGATTACCTTGAAGATTACTAGAAATATTTAGGGAAATGTGTTTGGTTAGATTGGAATAAATTAGTAAGTATATTATATTGATATGTTTGGTTGGGAAGAATAAATTGGTGGGTATGTTAAATAGATTACTAAATTGCCCTTCTTTTTTAAATATTAATATAATATTATTTTCATTATTATTTTTTGAATAATTTTTTTTAACCTCTTACATTTGAGATTTTGCTAAAACACCCCAGCCACATGAAAGTTTAATTTATAACAAAATCACCCCCACCCACCCCAAGTTACTGCTGGCTGCTAGCCACCACTGCCGGCTGCAGAGATAGTGATCGAAACGGCATAGGACCGGCTGGATTTGGCCGTTTCCAAGCAGATTTATTGCCAGATTATGGTCGTCGTTAACGACTAGAGTTCTAGCCGTTGTTAACAGTCCGAGATCTAGTCGTCGTTAACTGTCAGATCGACAGATAGCCGGCCATATTCGGCCGATCTTGCGCCATTCTGATGCTAACATTTGTCGTCGACGTTGGTGGCCAGATCTGGCCACCAGTCTTGGTAATTTTTTTCAAGTTCAAAGGTATTTATGTCCTAAAAATTTTATATATAAGGATAAAATAGACCATGAAAATTTTTGTAAATTGTTTTCAAAATAAAGGCATTATTGTCTAAAAATTTTAATATTTAAGGGTAAAAACTGTAACAAAATTAAGATTATTAAGTAATCTTAAAAGATCTAAAGAAATGCTGGTATCCAGATTACTTACTAAATAATCAACGGTAATTACTATTAATTTTAAAAAATTACAAAAAAACATAATAATCAAAGTCATATATATAAAAGATGATATTACCTTTTCGTGATCGGGATAACCCCTGGCCAAACGCCTTCTTGGCGTATAAGTAATTTTTTGTGGTTAGTTTAACTACAAGTTAATTGTGATTTGTGGTTATTTTTCATTAAAACAATATAAAAGTGGTCACTTTCCATAAATTTGGCTATCTCTTTGTACCAAATTCAAAGCAACGCTAAAATGGTTATTTTTCCATATCACACGTTTTTGAATTTGGGAGCTCCAAACCGAAGCACAATGGAGGTTCAGTATCTGTATCTCCGAAAAAATTCCACAAATCCTGCTACAGGAATGAAAGCAAACACATTTATTAATTTTAATAGAAGTCTTATTTACTTGTTAAATCCGACTCGTCTTACTCCTTATTAATTTTAATTAGTACTAGATTTACTTGTGGAATTAGGTTTTTTTAATCTATCTCTGTTTCAGTTTTTAAATACAAGCCGTGTTTTCCTGTAAATTATTTTTCCTTCAATTTTTAGTTCCATAATGGAACCATCTCCGCCACAAAAGCCCAGCAAGTTCGCCGTGTACCAGAACCCAGCCCTCTCCGCTGCCCTAACTGCCAAAAGCCTTCAGCCCTCAAACTCAACTCTTTTGTGTATCTTCGCTTTCTCCTCCGCCTCCGCCTTCGCTCTTCTCTCCATTATCTCCAGGTAGTCATGTCTTTATACATATATGTATTCGTATGTTTATGCCTTGGTAGTTTTAAGCAAGTATATGTATTTTCATCTGTATGTATTAAGTTTAGTTGGGTTTTGGAAACCGGGTTTTGGGTTTTGTTGAGATTTAAATTGTAATGATATGATGCACATGTTATTTGAGAAGTTAATTTGTGTGTTTTTTTTTTTTTTTTTAATTGTTTTCGCACACTTGTTTGGTTGATATGGAAAGTTTATAGAAAAGGAGAAGAATTAGAACTTTGAGGCGTCTAAGTGCTTGTTTAAGGTGTTATAAGTGTAATTTTCATTGTAGCACTTATGAAATCTATATCTTTTATAGGTTTGATAATGTTCACACTTATGCAAGACATGATTTCTCAGCAACTGATGCTTTCAAAATGGAAAAAAATGCTGTCTTTTAAGAATAGTTATGTTTTAATATAGAAAGAGAACATGTAATTTAGTATGAGATTTAACATTCCTTTTCTTTTTCTTTTAGGTTAACCAGAGAAATAAGTGGTCAAAAGGGGGATAAAGAAAATGAAAGTGTTAGCGTTTTTTAGTGCCTTAGAACATTGGTGAAGATTAGTTTTATTTTTCCTTCAAAATATTTTCTGTTTATTTGTCACCTGGGTGTCACAAGTAACAAAGGAATAGCTAAACAAAATGATAAGTTTTATATGTAATGCTGTCTGGTTTTCAGGAACAAAGAAAAGATGAGATTTTAATTGTCCATTTTTTTTCTTCTGGTTTATTGTTTGGTAATAGAGAATTTGAAGTTGAATTGTTCCTTTTTTTTTTTTGGTTAAAATTGATGTAAGTTTTATGTTTGTATCTATTGGTTGAGGTTGCTTTAATCTGAATTTAATCAGTTGACTAATATATTGTTTTAAATAAATTAAGGGAGAATGGGTTGATTGCAAAACTGAGGTTCGGGAAGTTATCCCAAGCTGCAGCTTGTAAGTCATCTATTTTTAACGGAATGTCATAGATTCTTTGAATTAACTTGTTTGCTTTTCGTGGCGGTATCTGAATGTTATCTTGTGTTTCAGATTTCTTTGCGAAGGCAGTACAAACTATGATTGGTTTAATTTTCATTGGAAGTTTATCTGCCCTTCTCAAATTCATCTCTCTACGTAGAGCAAGCAAAGGAACCAAGGATCAACCAAATCTAACAAACCAGCAATTAGGCCTTTTGGGAATAAAGCCAAAGGTTGAACAAGTTGTATCTGAATCTTCAAAGAAACCCCCCAAGTCCAGATCCCACTTGTCATCTCCAGATGTCCTTGTTCCACTGCATCAGCCAATTTCCAGTTCAAATCGGAAACCCCGACTCAGTTCTGATAAATCAAACACCAGTGGTGGGAATAGGATGAATTCTTTCAGCACTACATCCAAATTACAGAGTTCCCCATCTTCTCTATATCTTGTCCCTGCCGCTAGTTCACCATTACCTGCTGTTCAAACTTCTCCAGGTCGGGACCAAGTGCTTTCAACCCCTTGGTCAAGTAAGCGATCCTCCTACACGAGGGAGATAACAACAGAAGAAGAACTTGAAAATTTCTTGGCGGAGGTAAGCGAGAAAATCAATGAATCAGCTGGCAAATTGGCAACTCCTCCGCCTACTGTGAATGGTTTTGGCATAGCCAGTCCTACTGTTGCAAGTTCAGCTAATACATCAGGAACTACGAGGAGCACGCCTTTGAGACCTGTGCGGATGTCTCCTGGTTCACAGAAATTTACTACTCCTCCAAAGAAAGGAGAGGGTGATTTTCCTCCTCCCATGTCCATGGAAGAGGCTATTGAAGCTTTTGAGAATTTGGGCATCTATCCTCAAATTGAGCTGTGGCGTGACCGCCTCAGGCAATGGTTTTCTTCAGTTTTGCTAAATCCTCTGCTCAACAAGCTTGAAACCAGTCATATTCAGGTTTGGTAACTAATCATTGTCATCTCCTCCTCTTCATACTATTGAATGTCTTGGCTATGTTTTCAACTGAAATTCTCTTTGAAGCCTCCTCAATGTTATTTTTTCAGACATGTGAGTTCATAAGTTGTTATAGTTTTGAACTTAATCAAAATTCAAAATTCTGTTAATTTTTTTTTTCAAACTTTTATGCATGTTCTTCAGCTCTTCTTGATTTTTCAAACTTTCATTCTTGTTCTTCAACAGTTGTTGCTGTAGGAGATCTCTTCATTTTGATATAATCATTGGCATCCACTTCCACATATTTTTTACTGTTAAGTGTCTAATTGTTCTACTTCCATGTTTGTAGGTTATGAATGCAGCTGCTAAACTTGGGATTTCCATCACAATTAATCCTGTTGGAAGTGATTTACCAACAAGTGGAAGTCCTGCTACAGTCTCTCCGATTGATAGGACTAAGGAATGGCAACCAGCATTTACTCTTGATGAGGATAACCTTCTTCATCAGTTACGTGCTAGTCTTGTACAGACTCTTGATGCTTCCGTGCGTAAGTTGCTCCTACACTACTTTTCTAATTTACATTTGCTGATCATGTTGGTTGTGGAAGTTTGCTGAGGATTCTTGTTGTTACTCTTATGACATGCAGCAAAGTTTACTTTAGCCAATCTGCAGCAGTCTCCTCAGCAAAATCATATGATCCCTGTCATGCAGGAATGTGTGGATGCCATCACTGAACATCAGAGGCTTCACGCATTGATGAAAGGAGAGTGGGTTAAAGGTTTGCTTCCACAAAGTAGTATTCGAGCTGACTATACAGTGCAAAGGATTCGAGGTACTTTGATTTTATTTTTTACCGTATACTAATCACCTCTTGTTAATTTCATAGATCATCTGTAATTGAATTTATGACCACCAGTTACTGCCATAGAATTTTAACCTTGAGCTTTCTGTATGTGCTTGTTTAATTTTCCAGAGCTTGCTGAAGGAACCTGCTTGAAGAATTATGAATACCTTGGAAGCGGGGAGGTCTATGACAAAAAGAATAAGAAGTGGACTCTTGAGCTTCCAACTGACTCCCACTTGCTCCTGTATCTATTCTGTGCCTTCTTAGAGCACCCAAAGTGGATGCTACACGTGGATCCTACCTCTTATGCTGGAGCACAGTCTAGCAAGAATCCACTGTTCTGGGGGGTTCTGCCTCCAAAAGACAGGTTCCCTGAGAAGTACATTGCTGTGATATCTGGTGTTCCTTCCACTCTTCACCCAGGAGCTTGTGTGTTGGTTGTTGGAAAGCAAAGCTCACCGATCTTTGCCTTGTACTGGGATAAGAAGCTACAGTTTCCTCTTCAGGTGTGTAGTTTATGGGATTTGTTTATTAAAGTATGTTTGATGATGTGAGTAGGGGAGGACGAAAGTTGCACGAAACAGACCCTAAAAAGAACCAGTAGATAATAAAACAAGGGGAGTTAAAGTGATCTTTTCCTGTGAATAAACAGTCTGTGACAATATCAGCAATCAGCGTCAAAGAGGGCATTGACCCTGATATGCACACATAACGACCACAGAGTGAATGAATGTAGGAAGTAACAGGACAAGATATAATCAGAACTGTAGCCAACCTTATATCAATAAAGATGAATCTTAAATAACAAGAATGATGAAAACCTTATTTAAGACCACATTGACTTCATTAATTGTGTGCTTTCTTGTATGCCGTCCATTAGAGCAAATTAATGTAGATGCCTCACTGGTATAATTGTAATGTTTTGTCTTCACATAATGTGTGTTTTCACACATATGATGGTTCTTAATTTTGTCAATGTTTCATATGGTCCATGGCAATGGTATATAGAGTAATTTAATAAAATAACCAGCATTTTTGGTCCTTACTTTCAGGGACGAACAGCACTATGGGATTCTATATTGCTTCTGTGTCACAGGATTAAGGTTGGATATGGAGGCATAGTTCGAGGCATGCATCTTGGTTCTTCAGCCTTAAGCATCCTCCCAGTTTTTGAATCAGAAAATGAAGACTGAGTACATTTGGCAAGATTCACTGACTCCTCCATGCTAATCTCGTCAAGCTGCCTGCAGATAATTTTTTGGACCAGTTGAAACCTGTTTTATTTAAGATTAGTGTTCAAAATTCTGGTTTGTCCAAGATAAGATTATTTGTGTTAGGGGATTCTAGTATGAAAAGATGGGTGTAAACTATATAGATGTGAGATTATTAGTGGGAAAAGAAAATTAGGCAAAATTTTGGTAGCATTTCATTTCTTTGCAACACTTTTTAAGTTTCATGCCCCATTTTCCCAAAGAAAGAAATTGAATGGCTTAAAGCCTTAAAGCTGTTGCCATTGTATTACATACATTGCCCACTATTATTGTTTGGTTAATTCAGAAGTATG